GACCCCCTGTCCTGCTGCCCTGGGTGGGGCAGAAGCCAGAGGCGCTTGCAGCTGCCCTGTTGTGCTCATAGCAAAAACCAAAACCAGAGAAGGAAGGGCCTCAGTTTCTAATTTTTGCTTTTAGATTTTTTAATTTATCTCCACTTTGGGGCTTTTTCTAATCACTTTTCGATCAGTTATTCCTGTTCTGCCTGACTCCAGTGGTTGAAGGGTCAGTTCCCCCTACATATTAGGGGGTTAGATGAAAACACAACCAAACAAGCAGAGGAAAAATCCCAAACCCCCAAATATTTCAAATCCTTTTCTTTTTCAATTTACTTCTTATATTCTTTTTTATAATTACAAAGGAAATATATGCTTATTACTGAAAAGTCAAAAGTAAGCAGAGCATAAGCAACAACCTAATAGTCCTGCCTCCCAGAGGTACCCACTGCTCCCTCATTAACCTCCCTTTATCTCTGTCCCTTATCGCTCCCGGATCAGCTGGGATTGGGCCCAGCTGCAAATAGCAGAGAATCCTGGTTTATCACTCTGCTGATAACACTGGGAACATCAGACCCCAGGCTCTTTCCTGCCTTCCCTCACCTGCCTGTCAGGAAGAAGGGAAGATCCAGCTTTTGTGGGACCTCCAGCTTGCAGAGTTTTGCAGGCCTTCTTTAAAATAAAGGAATACAAAGTTAGGTATAAAAGTTGAGTGCTTAATTTAGAATGAGAATGAGAAAATAAATCACAGTCAAATTCAAATTTTAAGAACTGACAGATACCACAAACAGAAAATAATGTTTTTATTAACTAGCTGCGTGGCACACCTCATAGTTTTTTTTCCGTATATTTTTTAAGTCCTTTGATTGCCTCTACATATTACATATATGACAATGAGTCTGTAAGGTTTCCTAGAGAGAGAGAAAAGAAAATGAGTCAGTCCTTCCTGTGACATATTTGATCAAATTTTACTTCTTATTACTGATAGATTAGAAGACTTTCTTTCGGCCTCACATTTAGTTTTTGGTAGTGCTGTGTAAATTTTTAGGGTGGTTGTTAAATTTGAGAAAATCTTCCTCAAGTTTCTTCTATAAAGAAACTGTAAGATTCGGGGACATTTCACATTTTCTTGCGTGCATAGGGAAGGCCTAGAAGGCATTCCTACATCAGGACAGCTAGGCATTGTTTGGCCATGCACAGAAGTGACTGGGCATCATATAAATATATGCCACTAAACCCAAATTAAATGTCACCTGCACTCAGCGTCCTCTTAGCTAAATCCCAGATTGCCTTTGGCCGTTCCAGCACCACGCCACCAACGTGAGAGGAAGTGGGTCAAGGGAAGTCAGAGTAGAGAGAAACAGCAGAAGGGAAGTAAGAGTAGAAATAGCAGTATTAAGTGATTGCAGTCAAAATGTCCTACTTTTGCAAATTTTACAAGAACATATGACCCTGTGAACACATTGCTAGGGCCCCTTCCAGGGCCTTGAAGCTTCAGTTTCATTAGCTTCATGGTAGTTCTGCCTCAGTGCATCAGCCCTTCATTCACTTGCTTGTGGCCTGTTGGTCATAAGATGACGGAGGCAGCTCCTGGCACAAATCCGTGATCAAGTCAGGAAGAAGGCCAAACATGGAGGCCAGCCAGATCCACCCCTCTTCAGTGCTTTTCCTGAAGCTCGATCGGGTGACCTCCACTTACTTCTTACTGGTCAGAACTGGGTCACATGGCCCCTAGCTGCAAGGGAGTCTGGGAAGGTGGGTATTTTTAAGTAGACACATTTCTGTGCCAACGAAGACCAATTTCTGTTGGTCAAGAAAGAGAGAATGAATATTGAATAGACAGCTCACAGTGTCTGCTTTAGCTTCTGGGTAATTTTCTGTGTGGAGAGAGAGAGAGAGAGAGAGAGAGAGAGAGAGAGAGAATACCTGTATTTTCTTATAAAAATTCGTACTGCTTTATACCATGTCATAATTTCTTTAGGTGGTTCACCAATACTCAAAAACTAGTAAATGAGAAATATATTTTTTACCTAAATTGACATGTGTTGACCGTCTTTTACTACTGAATGAGTTACATTCAGCTAAATCATATGCTGCTTTTTTTTAGTTGTGGTTAAATATGCTGCATTGTTTTAGTAGCAGAACCTTCTTTCAAACAGAATCTCCATGTGCAGCACAGATGGAAGCTGAGTCCCTCTGGGTGCGTAAGAGGGTTGCCAGGAGCGCTTTCTCTTCTCTCTCCCAACAACCCTGGAGACATGTCTGCAGAACTCAGTGTGGGCAGCAGGTTGTGGGACTAGATACCCTTTAAGATCTTTCCAGCCGCAAAAGGCACCTTTGCACCTGAGGGGCCTGTGGAGGGGCCTGGAGGCCTTGGGGGCCGCTCTGTGGCTCACCCTGCAAGCACAGCGGGTTGTCGAGTGAACAGGAAACAGGCCCTCGGGAAAGCGGCTGCTCGGAAGCGCTGGGCATGCCAAACCCTCCTCACCGAGGACCTTTCCTCGAGCATTCTGATAACAGACCAGACAGTTCTGGCCCTCATCCATTGGAGAGGACAAATACCACCCACCTTAAATTATTTCTTAGGCCTATGAAGCTTTAAGGAGATGGTATGCGTTTTCCAAAGGCTGAAACACTCTCAAATATAAGTGATATGTTCTCTCTCCTCTAGGAAGGTGTTGGGAGGGGTGGGCTCGGAAGGACAGTGGAGTGGGGGAGGAGGCGGCAGAGGGCTAGCAGCAGACTCGAGAGAACCCACATATTCGCTGTCTCCCCTTTTCCAGTAGCTTAAGACTGAGCCATCTGTGGAAAGACCCAAGTGTTCTGACTAGCATAGTGGAGGGGGAAAGAGAAGGCATGAGTGGTCCTACGGTACTGTTGAAAATTGGACTTAAGGGGCCTGCTCTGGTGATGAGGGTGGGCTTGTAAATTTGACCCTAGATACTAGATGGGGACAGTGTGACAGAAGAGAAGTCAGAGTAGAAGCCGACAGCAAGATTGATTGCAGATAAAAGAGCCTTCTTTTGCAAATTTCACAAGAGATATAGTGGGAGATGGAACTGCATTTTAGTTCTTATTTGGAAAGCTTAATTATGTTCCATTTCTTCCAAGAGGGTAGAAGACCCCCCTTCCCTCTCCTTCTGTCTCTTTCTCCTTTTTTTATTTTTATTTTTTTTGTGAGGAAGATCGGCCCTGAGCTAACATCTGCCAATCCTCCTCTTTTTGCTGAGGAAGACTGGCCCTGGGCTAACATCTGTGCCCATCCTCCTCTGCTTTACATGGGAAGCCGCCACAGCATGGCTTCACAAGCGGTACGTCAGTGCACGCCCGGGATCCGAACCGCAGGCCGCCACAACGGAGCACACGCACTTAACCGATACACCACCTGGCTGGCCCCTGTCTCTTACTCCTTTGCACTCCTTCCACCCACCCCACCCCCCAGACTCCCCTAGCGGGTGGCTGTCCCCACAGCACAGGTGAGAACTATTGTTTCCCGCAGGAAACTGGTCCTTTTTATCTTCTCCCTGCCTCAAATACTATATAAACCCAAATAACTTTTCAGCAAAAATCAAGAAATCAAAGATGTAATTCCAATTTTAAAAAAATTTTCTGTTTTTTCTTTTTTACTTTTTATTTTGAAATAATTATAGATTCACAGGAAGTTGAAAAAGTAGTACAGAGAGGTCCTATGCCCCCGTTTCCCCAGTGGTACCATCTTATGTAACTCATGTCTTATGTAACCGTCTTACATGGCACAGTATCAAACTAGGAAATGGATGTTGGTGCAATCCACAGACTTTATTCCGGTTTCACCAGTTTTACAGTGATTTCTTTTTTAAGCAATTTTTCTTAATTTTTAACGTAATATAACCACATTACAGAAAACTTGGAAAATAGAAAAATTTTTCTTGGTTCTACTATCCTATGTAGCCACTGAATCATTTCAGTGTTCATTTCCTTCCAGTCTTTTTGTGTATCTTTAGCATAATTGAGAGCATCATGTGTGTACAGTATTATAACCTGACTTTTACCTGATGTTTTAAATAAACTTTTTTTCATAACCTAGTCTTTATCGTTGTAAATGGCCATATAATGTTTCAAATGAAAATGCCATATTTTACTTCATTATTCCCATATTACTGGACAGTTAGATTATTCTAGTCTTACTCTATAATAATTTTGTAGCAAACAACTTTATTTAACATTTTCCATATTTTAGATTCTTTCACTAGGATTTACACCCAAGGATATGAACATTTTTACAACTCTTGATATAAAATGCCAAAGTACTTTCCAAAAGAGCTGTCTCACATTTCCATGCCCTCATGTTTTAAACTAGTGCCAGCAGTGGAAGGGATCATTTCTCTAATTGTCCCTCATTTAATAATTGAAGAATGACGAGTTTTTTGTAAAGTTGTGGTTTCTAATTACTTATAAAGTTGATCATTTTTTCTCCTTTTACTGGTGATATTTTCTGTTTTGTGACTTGGCTGTTTGAATTCTTTGCCCAATTATCTATTTACTGTTTTACTTATTGATGTGTAAGAGCTCTTTATCTAATGAACATTTTAACCTTTAATCTGTTAAATTTACTGCACTATTTCTTCCCAGTCTGTTGTTTACCTGTTAATGTGGCTTGTCTTTAATATACTATATGTGGAAATGTTAATTTTTTTATGAACCCAAATCTGCCTGTCTGTTCTTCCTTCTCACTTTCAAAAGTCAATCCTCTCCCGAAATGTGATAAGTTACTGTATTCGACTATTTTCTTCTTTTTTCCAGGGTTTGTTTTTTTTCTGTTTTAAGTTTATACTGCTAAATGGATGATATGCAAGCCTAAAGGGATTTTCCCCAAAAATTGCTGTGTATCTAAGCAATCTGTGTCATGGTCCTTCCCCATTTATTTGCAAAGCTTCTTCCTACTATACATTAATTTGTTAAATGTAGTCAGTTCTACCTCCAGGCCAGCTCCTAAGGAGATGATTTCTCCAGGCCCGTTTCTTCTTTCCTTCCACCAGATCATGACCAACACAGGGAGGACGAGGCGGAAGGGGCTGGCCAGCGTGCAGTGGAGCGGGGACGAGCCCCTGCGCCGGCCCGTCACCCCCGGCGGCCACAGGAACGGGTACCCAGTGTAAGTCCAGGCTGTAGGAGGCGGGGAGTGGTTTTCTTAAGCTTCGTGTTGATTAACTGCAGTGTAAGATGTATGTATTTAAAAGTTCAAAATAAAACGTTCATATTGAAAAGTATTTCTCTCTCCATTGTTTATCTGTTGGCGATTTTTGGAGGGAAAGAGGCTGAGTTTCCCACTCCCCGCTAGGCTTCTTCTTCCAGAAAGTGAAGTGGTTGGATTACAGGATCTTCAGGGCCACTTCCAGCCTTTGTCCGGGAGAAGACAAGTATTGGCCCATGTAATTTGAAAGGAAAGGACCAGAAGGAACAGTGGGTCTACCCAGAAAGGACTGCTGTTGTTTCTTTTCTGCAGCCTCTCACCAAAGCACCAGGCCCTTTGTGGGGACTGGAGTGTCACCATTTAAGACACCAAATCAACTTATTTTTAGATGACTTTTTAAAGCAACTGTGTGCATTTTTAGCTGCCAAGTCTTATTCATTCTTCATAGCCTTGGGCCTACCTCGTTTACATAAACAAAACTTTAGAGCCTCTGGTCTTCCTGGGGACCGGGGGTTCTGACCCCTGTGGGCTCTGGGGGAGCCCCAGGCCAGGTGGTCCAGGCTGGGCGGGAGAGAAGCTGCTTCTGTGGCCTGAGTGGGCTCACTTATCCTGTCTAGAGAGAATGCTGGAGAGAAACAGGTGGGAACAAGGGGGTTATAGAGAACAGGTGAAAAACCTACATTATTCATTCAACAAATATTGGCCATAAAAATAGTTCAAATGAATATGCCATATTTTACTGAGTTATCCCCTATCGCTGGGCAGTTTGGTTGTTTCCAGTTTTACTCTATAGTAATTTGTAATGAACAACCACGTGCCGGGGATACAGCAACAAACAAAACCCGGAAATGGCTGCCTTCATGGAACTCTGTGCACGGATGTTGGGGCGCCAGAGCCCCACACCCAGATCCGGCCGAGTTCTGTTGCCCAGCTGGGCCTGACCTATAAATATTTCAAGGCCCATGCCACGGATCAGTGCTCTGAGATCTATTTGATTTTATTTCAAGATTAGTCATCATGTGCTTCCTATTTCGAGGTTTTTATTTTTAATTACTAGCATACAAACTAATATCATACCTTTTTCTCTTAAACCTACAACCATTATTTTTTCACCTACAGAACAGTTGAAAGAATATTACAATGAGGAGCTGCTGTTAACATGTTGCCACCTTTGCATGCCTGCTCTCTCTCTTCTGTGTACATAGTATATAATTTACACACATATACAATTTTTTTGCTGAACTGTTTGAAAGAAGGTAGCAGACTTTGAGCACACATCTCCTAAGACTAGGAACATCCTGCACTTAACCACATAATTACACCTAAGAAAGTTAACATTAATTTAATAATATTATATAGTATATCAATATTCCCTAATTGTCTCCAAAATGTCTTTTATATCTGAGGGATTTTGTATTTGTTTTTTTGAACCAGAATATAGCCAAGTGTCAACTGCTAGTAAATTCAGTTTATAAATACAATACCTTTTTGAATGGAAGTAGTAACTAATAAAATTCATCTTGCTTGACATGAGAAAGAGGACACCAAATCATCATTTAAGAAAATTATTTTAAAATTATATTTTAAAGTTATTAAAACCTCGGCTTCACAGAGAGGCAACAATGACATAAGGATATTTTAATCAGAAATAAGGATAAAGGGAATCTTATAAAGATAAGATCTATCCTATGGGCGCAGTTAATTCTTGAGTCTGAAGGTGGCGAGGAGGAGGAGGACATGTGTCTGTGCCTGGGGAGCACATGTGCTGCCCCCTGATTTGTGGAAGTGGTCGCTGCAAAGGAGAACACCTAGTTTTCCTGAAACTACAGACCCTCCTACTCTAAGGAAGCAATCGCCCCATCTCCAGCTCCCTCCATTCAGCCAATTCAAACAAACATTTATATCACTTCTGTGTACCAGATGGTGTGCTAATTGCTAGGGATGCAGAAATAAATGAGCTGTGATTCCTGCCCTTAGAAGCTACAGAGCAAGCCACCTAGTAGGGGAGAGATGGCAGAGCCCAGGGGTGCTCCGCGCTGGCGGCGGAAAGTTAACATTCAGCCTCTTTAAAATGTTGATCTGACTCTCCATGCACAACCAGCCCCTCTAATAACCCAGGGTTGCTGGGGGTGTAGATAAATCAAGAGCCCCTGTGATCCTGGGGACTCGGACAATATGCATTATACGCATTCGAGACACTAGTTCTTTAGAGTCAGTAATCCCACATCTAGCCCTATACAAGGGCTTTTATTGCAGCATTATTTATACAATGAGAAATAATCGAAATGCCCAAAGTAGGAGGCTGGTTACATAAATTATATATCCACACAAAACTGTATTGAAAATGATGTTTTAGAAGACTATTGAATGCATAGGAAGAGCCTCACAATAAACTGCTCAGTGAAAGAGCAGATTATAAAATTGTGTGGATCTTGCCCGCTGTCAACTCACTGTGATTCCAAGTTTGGGGGTTTTTTCAAGTATATGTTTGCATTTTTTTAAAAATGTGAAAAGAGGGGCCTCCTGGGTGGCGTAGCAGTTAAGGTCACGCGTTCCGCTTCAGCGGGCGTGGTTCACAGGTTCTCAGATCCCGGGCGTGGACTGACGCACTGCTTGTCAAGCCATGCTGTGGTGGCGTCCCATATAAAGTAGAGGAAGATGGGCACAGATGTTAGCCCAGGGCCAGTCCTCCTCACCAAAAACAAAACAGACAAAAATAGTGGTTGTGTCTTGGCATTGGGAGGGCAGAACATTCTATATATTCTATATATTTTCCTAATTTTTCATGATAAACACTCATTGGTTTTATAATCAAGAAAAACGAGGTTGAAAATAAAAACGAATGCAGTCACCCCTGTGCAGTGCGGGACCCTCCCTCCCCCACTCCCCTCTGCCCAAGCCTCACCCCGCCGTGGATTCTAGATCCCTCTCCTCCCGTCCAAACTTTGCTCCCTCGTTTCAGGCCTCTTTTGCTCCATCTTCAGCCTCCCCTGCTGCTGCCTTGTTTCAACAGGCTCCCATGTCTTCCGGCCCCCTCACTCTCTGGCCTTCTGGCTGCTTCCCTGCCCCGTCCTCTTCTCCCTTCACAGCCCCGAGTGGCCTGGTGGTGACTTCAGCAAGTCATTGCTGCCACGGCCACCTGTGATCTCCCAGTTTCCAACCCTGTAGGACACTCAGCATCTCTCACGGTTGCTCCTGCTGACCACCCTCCTCCGGGCAGGTCTCCCACCTCCACATCCCGATGCCACTGTGGGCTGGTCCCCTGATGCTCACCCCACCTCCTCCTAAAATGCCGCGCTCTGCAGGCCCCATTTAAGGTCCCTGAGCCAGCATGCTTGTTCTCTGGCTTCCATCACACACTGCTGACACCCAAATATCTAACTCCAGCCCAGACTTGCCCCCACGCGCTACATGTGGCCCCACCGCACCCCCAATTCAGCGTTTCCTAGATGAACACTGCTGTCTTCTGAGCCCCTTATTCAGGCGTTAATACCCCCAAACCCCTCAAGCCAGAATCCCATCCCATGAGCCGCCGAGCCCTCTCCTTCCCACCTGCTCTCCTAGCTCGGGCCCCTCCTCTCTGCCTTCTCTTTCTCCCCCAGGCCCTGGGAGAGCTCCTGACGGTTCCCCCTGCCTCTGTCCACCCTCCATACCACAGACAGAAAGAGCTTTCTAGCATCTCATCATGAAATGTCATTTCTGTGACTCCTGTTCCTTTAGGGATCAAGTCAAATCACAACCTGGCTGTCAGCTTCCTTCTCAACTGACCTTCCCCAGCCTCAGCCCTTGCAGCTCCCCAGGACACCCTGTACCCTCCAGCCTGCATTTGTTGTGGTGCCTTGAATCTTTCTGTACCAACGCAGCATAAATATCTACTTTTTTTTTTTTTGCCTCTTCACCTTGCTCATGGTGTTACCTCTGCTGGAAAACTTTCCCTCTTTTGGCCCCAGGCAAGCCCCGGCTCAGAGTTCAGGACTGGCCGAGTGCCAACACACACATACACACACACACACACACACACACACACACAGCGCCTTTCCTGCCCCCTCAGGGCGGTTAAGTGTCTGCTTGTCTTAGCTACTGGAACTGACATTCAAGAACAAGCATTTCATAGGGCCCAACCCCAGGAAGGGCAGACACATGCTTGCCATGGTGTGTCCCCCACCAAGCCCTGCTGGAGCAGGTGGCTAGTGTCCCCTTGAAGGGGAGTGACTGCTGTGCTGCTGTGCAGGGAGAGCCTTCCCCGGGACCTGTTGTGAAAGCTGACGGAGGAGTCCTGCAGCCTGCCTGCCTGCCTCTCTGTGATGTGCTGGCTCAGGCCGCAAGGTCTGGCATAACGAGGCCCCAGAACATGTCTGCTGGATGAATGGAGTCTCTGCCAGCCGTCTCTACCAACCCACGTGCCGACATTAGGCAGTGTGCGCACCGTCTCCTAGTGTTATAGACTGAGTTCTTCCCCAGTCCTCTTCCTGCCTAACTCTTGTCGTCATGGCTGCCATGACATGTCACGTCTTTTCTGATTGGATTCATCCCTTTTCTAATCGGCTTCATCCTTCGAGGAAAACCCAGAAGATTGGTGCCTTCAATTGTTTGGTTGAAATGTCATGCTCCCTTGTCACCCAAGCCAAAAGATATAATTGTGTGTTAGAAAAACACTGAGCCCTGTATCCCTGTAAATTTACAAGAGCTAACGGGAGCGAGGTAAGGGCACTTCCTGGTTTCTGCCAAAACCCTTTAAAAGGTTTAATGTCTGCTGCTATCGGTTTAACAAAAGAATTTCAGGTACTTCCTGTATTTGTTTGCGATGCTGCACAGCAGTCAGCAAACATCTCCTGGCTGTCTGTATTTATTGCTGCTTTTTATTTTTTTCTCCAGGCTGGAAGACCGTCCCGTTTGTCCCCAGACGGCCCGACACACCAGAAAAGGCTGCCTTCCGTCCCTGCTGGACGCCCACCTTCCAGTCTACAAGGGGGGTGAGCCTGGCGCTTCTGAGCCTTGCGCTTCCTCTTTGTGTAAGGACATGGCAGCATGCGGGGACATGTCCCGCAGGGGACAACTCTGGCACTGGTGCTGCCTAGAATCCAACGTAGCAGCAGCAGCAGTTACAGACCCGGAAAGGCCTCGGCCCCACGCCGGCTCCCGTGAAGCCCTCTGATCTCAGCCACAGCCCCGAGTCAGAGAGGCTCACGGGCCTGAGGTCACACAGCCAGACCTGACTGGGGCCTTTTCCTTCTCGGAGCACTGGGTCCACTGCTCATGTCTACAAGCTATTGGGGCAAGATGTCTGACTGCGGAGAGCCGTGGTTAATGTAAAATTGTGGAGTAGGAATCTCAGAACCATGTGGGTCTATGACCAAGGCTTTCATACCTCAAACTCTGGTGCCGAGGCAGCCAGCCACGCGTAAGAAGGCTAGATCAAGTCAGAAACGTGCCAGTAGGAGCAAAAAGCACTCTGGATCCAAACTTGTTTTGAAACATCTAGTTGAGTTCACCAGAGGCTGATAGGGGATTAGACTATTTTTGAGCTGCCAGAAAAAATATATATGCTTTGAATCAAAAATGTACAAAGTATTTTTTTTTCATTTTCGAGAGGAAATTAAAAGGATATGAGCAGGCCAGATAAAAACTCTAATCTCCATTCAAATAGGAAAAACAACAGAGGAACAGGTCAGATTCCAGTATGAGAAGCATCTGAGAACTTGCACAATCTGCTCACAATTGGATTCAAACGCCTTCAGGCCCCAGTTCAGAGCAGGAGGCTAGTTAGTTACAGAGCCAGGAGAAAGCCCGGTTGTTTGGGTCTCTGGGGGAGGGTCTCTTGATGATGAGCAGGTTTAGAGGTTTTGCCAACTTTGATCATCTGTTATTTTACATGTGTTTTATTAGAATGGTAAACATTACTATGCCTTCACTAAAAGGTGATTAGCTCAATAATTTATCCAGCGATTTCTGCCACCAGAAAGGGGGTTTTAGGTGGTCTAACAATTGTTACCAATTTGACCTAATGCCATTGCGTTAAAAATGATTTCAGGTTCTGTTGGCCCGAACTTCCATAAAGGCCCCACAGTTGCATTTAGTAACTTATTTATTGGGAATATCCTTGTTTTCCCAAAATGACCACCCTGGTGGCCCTCTGTCTTACACTGGATGTAAATGTGGTCCTATCTTTTGGAAAGATTTATTGTGCTGTTACCTGTGGGGTGGAGGCATTTGAGGTTGTCCTGTGTAGAGATGTCTGAGTGGCAGCTGCTGGTGTTGCTGAAGATGTCGATGTTGTTATTTTCAAGAACAATTGATTTTAGCCCTGCCAAAGTCAGGTCCCTGGCAAATTCTGGATCCTCGCGTGAAAACAGCGGGCACCCACCAGGAGACTCAGCCATGGCGGTCACCAGCAGTTCCCAGGGCCTCTCCCTGGGGAGGCAGCAGCTGCTCACCAGCCCCTCCAGATGGGCAACCTGGAGCCAGGGCAGCTGTTCTTCCAAGTCTTGCCATCTGTGCGCCCCGCTAGCCTGCTCTGAACGCTGAGACCATGTTCTGCCTGTCCCGCCCTCCTGCCTGCTCCTGTTTGCTCAGGCCTAGCTGGGACCCAGGACTCCCACCCTGCCCATCCACTCCCCTCCCGCCTTACAGGACTCCACTAACCCCCAGCCTGCCCTCACTCCACCGCCAGAGACCAGGCGTATTCACCTCTCTCCCCTGCCCTGCTAGGCCTGCTCTCAGCACCTTTAGTTCTCCTTTAAAATCCCTTTACTTGACAAAAGTTCTCCCCTTGGAGAAGCCAAGCCTCCCGGTTAACTGCTTTCCCTAGGTCATTGTGAGCGTGGCTTCCAGTTCTGGTGTGGATTCTCTTCTTCCTTCTACCCTCTTTCAGGCTAGCCCTGCTGCAACCACCCCAGGACCAATGTCCCTGGACCAACGTCAGCTCCCCCAGCTGGTCTCTCCACTGCCACCTCTTCCTCTTCTCACCCAGCCTCTACGTGAGGATGGGTGGCAAACAGGCTGCAGCTTATGTACTTGGAATACTGTGTTGAGACTGGTTCTGAGGGTGCGTCTGGGCTCAGCCTGTACGAGTGCCACGGTCAATGAGCAAGGAGAGGAAGAGGGCAGCGGTGGGCTGGGTGGCCGTCCTCATCCTCGTTGTTTTCTGTTTCATTCCTTGCCTGTCGAGAGCCTGATCTGACTTCCTGACCCTTCCGTCCATACAGTCTTGCTTCTCCAGCTCTTTCTCCCACTTCTGTGCTCTCCCCCCATCCCATTCTGGCCTCCCCACAGGTCCCCTCAGACATGACTTGCTACTGAGTCTGGCCTCCTGGCCTTCACTCATGCTAGGAATCAACGCCCCACCTCGAGACCCAATGGGAACCCACCACCACGGCCTCCACATTGGATTTGTTCAGAAAGCTCCTTCACATCCATGCATTCAGTCAACACTGAAGGTGAAACTCATGATGAGGAACCTGTGGCATCTTCAAACTGCTTATCAGTTGAATGCAGGGCCAGAAAATGCATTCTTTTTTAAGCAAAAGACTCAGCCCCACAGAACCAAAAGGAAATAGTTCCCAAGGGTAAAAGCCAGGAATGTGACTTAGAATTTTGCAAGACATTGGCCTGAGGAAAGTTATTCTCATTTCCCCATCAACCAAGACTATCTTGGATATCGAAATTACATGTCTTGTCAGTAGATTCTAGAGTGAAAATGCCCAGCTCTGTCTGAAATGGATTAACCGGTAGGAAGACTACTTTGTCCCAGGAAGCCTCAGGTGCATCCGCACAGCTGCCCTTCTCCCCCCAGCCCTGGCTCTTCAGTGGGTCTGTTTTTCTCTGGCGGGACCTCTGAACGTCTGCAGTGTGGCATAGAGGAGGGAGCGGGAGAGGAGGGAGGGATGACTGCTGTTTGGAGACTAAACCAAGAGCACCTCAGAACGTCTCAGGAGAGCTCAGCTTGGTTCCTCCTCCCTCCTCCCTGGCGCCTTTCCCACCCATTGCCCCACCCCGACCTGCCCCAGGGAAGCTCCTGATCCTGGAGGACTGCCTACCTCCCACTGGTTGCCATCTTTGCAGCACCATTAACTGTAATGGGATCTCTTCTGTGTGTAGCCCAGCACTTGGGTGTGGTTCACTCAGTTATTATTTCATACACCTAAGGTTGGTCTCCTGGGCCACCTTATAAGCCCGTTGAGCAGAGAGCTCAGACAAGCTGGCCAGTTGGCCGTTGAAGAGCAAATGAAAGAAGGCTGAAATTCTTGTTCCAGTTCTGAGTAGAGACTGTCCAGTGTGGACTGTAAACAAAGCCACCCATTGGATTCCGTACCAGCAACAGATTCCTTGTTTGGGTCAAAGGAGAGTTATCTGGAAGTCAAAGCCGTGCCCCTTGCTATGGGTTTGAGGAATCCTACAGGGAAGATTCCTTATGTTTAGGATGAAGCAGAGGCCACATTGCAAAGGTTCTAGAGAGGTTTTTTTAAATGGAAGGGCTGAAAGGAGCTTGGATTAAGGAAGCAGCGAATCGAGACTCTGTCATAGTATTGCTCCAACAGTGACGTGGACCCCTTTGGCTATAGAACAAGAAGAGAAGAGAGGTGGGGCCAGAGAAGAAGGGGTCCCTGTCATTTGAAATACAGAACAGGCCCACTCCCAGGCCCTCTGGAGAGCCCCTCAGCAGGGTCATCTGGGAGTTCTCTGGTCGCTTCCCTGTGAAGGTCTCCGGGATGACCCGGGTGGCCTGCTCCTTGGCTGTGGCATCAGCTCCAGTGCTGCTAGTTGGGAACAAGGGCCGATCCTACCCCTGTGGGTGGACTGGGGGATTCAGGCCTGAGGGAGCCAGGGACAGCTCAGAGTGAAGAGAGCCCCAAGTCTGGGTTGCCGGATTTGGCAAATAAAAATACAGGACGCCCAGTTGAATTTGAATTTCAGATAAACAACACATAATTTTTCAGTATGCCTTTGTGCTTCTGTGCAGAGTTGCCAAGCAGTGGCCCAGGGAGACAATGACAAATTCTCTTGGCTTTTCCCTGAGAGGCAGAGGAGGGCCAGGGAATCAATGGGGCCGATGGTCTGCGCCTCCCTGTGCTGTGCGTATTCCAGCCAGAGCGTGCCCGCTGCGCCCCCAGGTTGTAAATACATCAGGTGGCCACTGGGGAAGCTCCCAGGCTGCACAAGGAAACAATTCCTCATCCATAGGCTCCCAGGAACTGTTGGAGACCTGCCTGGGGTGCGTGCTTTTCTTTGCTTTGCAGCTCAGCCCAGTAAAGAGCATCTTCAAAGAGGTTCCAGAGCAGACGTTGACTGAGCTCTCTTTCCTCCTCCCCAGCCGCCGTGGATGCCAAGCTGGGAGAGTGGTTGCCAGCTGGACGTCAGGGAGAGCCTCGCCTGCCCCCCACGGGGGACCCCAGCCAGCCAAGGGAAGTGCCCCAGATCCTGGGCAGTGGAGAGACCACCAGGTGGGGATGGGGAGTTGTCCTGGGAAGGCTCCTCTGAGGCCCAGCCCCTGATGATGGAAGCAAAGGAGCAGTTCACTGGGGCCTGAAGAGTGGTGCCAAGATAGCCAGGGGAGTACAGCCACCACACCTGATAACCTCAGAGCCCAAGGGGAGGGACCTGCCACCTGAGAATTACCGGTTGTCAGACCGGAAGGAGAGGAAACTCATAAATATTCCCAAGGGACTAGTTTTAAAAACCGCTGGTGAACATGTTTGGGTAGATGAGTGGTTTGGGGTAACTTGAGGTCAGTGTCCTATCTTAGCAATTTGCTTATGGGGAAGGTGGGATGGAGGGGAGAAAGATGGAGAACGAGGTTAGTAAAATGGTTTGGCTCAGATATCAGCTTTCAAAAAGAGACACTAGAACCCCCAAGCAGAAAAAGAGATGTTTTCTCTTCCTCTGCACCAAATGAGCTCCAGAGCAAGTGGCCCTTGATGCGTCACTCGGGGTTCTTTAGAATCTAGAAAGGGCCTTTCGATGATCTCACAGGCCCCTTCTTCAGATCTGAGGAAACCTGCTCAGGAAGAGGGCCTGGCCCTGGTCTCAGACTCAAGCTGTCTCCTGACCACCAGGCACCCCAGCTGCTCCCCACCACTTCCTCCAGGCCCTCAGTGCCCTGCAGGCTGAGTAATTTCAAGATGGGAAGCCGATCTCCTGCACTAAGGCTTTGGGCCAGAGCCCTGTTTAACCTGACTGCACCCCTGCAGTCTCTGAATTGGAGGAATTTTGCCGTGGCGACTGGTCAGGCCTTCTGTATCCCACCTTTCTGTAGAACAGGGAAGTACTTGCGTTAGTGTGTCTGCAGTGACCGGGCCCGCACCTCAGCTGTGGTCACAGCTGACCTCGGCCAGATCCGAAGCTCCTTCAGCAGCAGGGCCTTGGGGAGCTGAGTGAGACAATGGGAGGGCCGCATTCCAGGCCCCCCGAGGCCTGAAGCCACCCCCACCCCCAGCAGATGTTTCCCCCTCACAGTGTAAGGGGTCAGAGAAACCAGCCTGCTGGCCCTACTCGGGCCTCACTGCCCTCCCTGCAGGCTCCCACTGATGGAAACCCCACAGAAACAGGAGTTCCTGCTGAGTCTAGAGGCCGCAGGGACTCCTGGAGCTGCCGCAGCCACTGAGGATAGGCAGAAGGCCCACTAGAGCCGGCACCTGCTCGTGGAGAATGTCCGAGAAAAAGCTGGTGGGGGAGGGCAGGAGGGGGAAAGCTCTGAAGCCCATCTCCCTTAGCAGCGGACTGCACCCCTGCATCTGCCTTTCCCGCTACTGTTGGTAGCAGAGCTTGGGGCTGGGCGTGGGGGTAGAAGGGAGTCAGAGCTCCCAGGGGCAGCAGAGCTGTGGGGCTGAGCTGGAAGGACTTTGGGACCTGGGGTTGGGGATAGGGGCAGTCCTGAATTTCTCTACTGGGCAGAGGGTGTAAAAGATGGCAGGGTGAGCCAGAGACTGGGGGCGGGGTGGGGTTGGGGGCCTGAACGGCGGAGCGTCTGGTCTCTTCCAGCCCAACCCTTGACCAGCTGGGGCCCTAGGGACCCACCTTCCCTACCTGGGCCTCCTCCCCTCTCAGAGTGGCTGAAGGTGAGCCATGACGTTGGAAATGCCCGAGGCCCACAAGTGGTCAGCCAGGTCGGGGTTCTCCAGCTCTCAGCACCTTCGTGAAGTGGGGGGCTCAGAATGAGAGACCTCAGCGGGGTGGGCCTGGCTGCCTTCGCCTCGTGGCTCCCAGAGTGGGACCTGGGTCCAGTCCTTGGGCGCAGCCGGGCCAAACCTGCCCTTCAGGTGCGAGGGCCATTTCTTTTTCCTTCCTATCAATGCCGAATTCCTTTCTGAGGCTCACCACTGGGGATGATCCTCTCTACCCAGAAATAACTGTTTTCGTAGTAGGCAGGGGAGCCCAAAGGCTCTCTTCTTGGAAACATTCCCCCTTGTGACACCGGTGGGGTTACCCACTTGGCCTCCAAACTTCTTTGGGCACAGGTGCCCCATCAGGGTTAAACCCATGGGTGCTCTTGCCTGAATGTCAATCACTTGAATTCAACTCTTATTTTAAGTCCAGGGGGCCTCTGTTTGAGGAAGAGGAGGATGGGAAGGGGGAGAGCATACCATTGCTCCATCCCTCCTCTTCCCCCACTGGCTGTCTGACCCCTGCCTAGAATATTCTTTTCCCAACCCCAGCCTTCTCTTTACCGGGCTGCTCCAGGTCTCAGCTAAGTACCCCTCCCTCCTCCTGACCCCAAAGTCCAGTCACGCAGGTACGTTCCCTCACACGGGGACACAGAGCCCACTGTTTGGTCACGAGGTCCATGACTGTCTCCTGCTGTCCTCAAAGACGGGGGCCGCGTGTGGGGTGTTTGTCCCTGTGTTTCCACGCCTGGCCCAGAGCAGGCTCTCCAAGTATTTATCAAGAGGAGAAGGGGAGAGAGAGTGGCTCCCTGTGTGGCCTGGGTGTGGAACATTTGTCCCTCAGCTTCCCCCAACTCCCCTCTCTCGGTCTTTAGGGTGAGGACAGCCCCTCACCCCAAAAGACAGTTGTCTGGGTGGGCGCTGCCTGACTGCTTGGAGCCGACTGCTCGGAGCCCGTGGAAGGCCCCTGGAGCTGTGAGTTGAGATAAACGGTAGCTTGGACGATAGCTTTTGTTGCTTAGCCCCAGCTTTGAGGTGGTTTAAAGATAAGTGCAGCTCCGGCTCCGCTCTGGTGCTTCCAGCAACTGGTCTTGCTGTGCAATTGCCTTCCCAGAAGCCAGGGAGTAAAAGGTGCAGATCCTACGATCCCACTGCCCCTGCCCCCAGCCTCCCCCACGGCCAAATTTTTCTTTTCTTTTTTCTATCTGCTTCTTAGAATCCTTAGCATTGAGTAGCTGGGGAACAATACTGTTAACCAGGCTTTAAAAATGCATTTGTTTAAAAAAAAGAAAAAAGCCTTCATCCCAAGAAGAGCCAAGGCGTTCTCCCGTGAAATCTGTCAGTCCAGACCGTGAGGGGCTCACATGCACCTCGGAATGTGCAGAGGTTGGTTTCCAGCTGTTTGGCACCCCGGGCAAGGTGATGGGTCTCACTGCCCAGACTATCACGTGGCCTTGCCTGCCTGCCGTCTGCTGGCGCTGGCACATGGTCCCTGCGGAGAGGAGCCTGGCTGGCTGGGGAGAGCGCTTGCCTGGACCTTCCCTCCACGTGGCCCCAGGACAGGCGAGGAAATGGCTCCTTGGGTTGGAGCTGTGGCTCCGGCACAGACGCCGACCCGGTCCCAGGCCGAGATCAGAAGCAGACAGTGTCAAAGTTCCTGTCCTGCCACAGACAGGAAATGACTCTTTTGCAAGTATTGTGGCTTTCAAAAAATAAGGAAGAGATTTTACAGATGTCTGCGTATATGCTTTCTCCCCCTGCATTTGTCCCAAAAGGACACATGGCAGCTTACGATGACACATAGAGCGCATCAGCTAAAAGAAATGACAAACTAACTCCAAGGAAGCGGGGGAAATTAGGACAGCATAGCTGTGTGTTTACACGAGTGCACGCACACACACACGTGTGAATTGTTGGTGAGGTTTCCTTATCTGCCTTCATGTGGCATGTTCTCCCCCCAGTCCCAACCCCTCACCCCCACCTCTTTCTGGGTTTTGTTGTCGCCCAGACGCAATGTCCACAGCAGTGACTGAGAGCCAGTTATGGCCAAGGTGAGCAGAGTCCACTTAGGGGGCCCCTGAGCACTTTCGCTTGTCCCGTAATGCGGACGGTGGCTCTCGGGGCCTGAAAGGATACAGGATCCTCTGCCGTGGAGAATGCTCCACTGCGGGATTGTGACTCAGCAGCATTCCTGACACGAGTAAAGATTAAATATCTCCAGGAGCCTTTTTCTGCTCTTCCCATCCAGCACAATGTTCCTATTGATGAGCAGAGATAATATAAGCAGGCCGGGCCTCTCTAAAAAAATTGCCTATCTGGCAGGGCCCCTCCCAATTTACACATATATTGAAGTTTCCTTTTTTCTAGGACCCAGCACCTGGGTTCCTGCAGCAATTACTTTTTTCTGAGTCAGAGGTGACTGCCGTCCTGAACTTCTGGTCCATGTCTTTTTCTGCTCTACCCTACTCTGGCCTCGTCTCCCACCAAACCATCGCCATTTCCCAGCTCTGGGTTCCTGGCTGATCTCGCCATTCTGGGGAGATGAGGGGCCTGAGGCCACTCGGGGGCCAAGCTGACCCTTACCGACAGCCATCCACCCCTGCCTCCCACGGTGTCCTTCCCAGAGGGCCCTGGTGTCGTCACCCTGTAGAGTTCAGTGACAGTGGCCAGCATCCTCAGTCCACACAGTCGCCTCCTGCAGCAGCGCCAAGGTGGTTGGGAGGACTTCACGGGGGGTGACTCTGCCAAGCCAAGGGGTGGCTCCCTGGTGCTCTGCCAAGGGCTACTTTCTCCAATGCCAGAGGGAGGAGCCAGCCAGAGGGGGCCCCTGTCTGAGGATGCTCTTTACCCACAACAACACTACCCTGGCCAAACAAAGGTCATATTCTAGGGCAAAGAGGAGACTGCCTTTTAAGGTGTATTAGTCAGGTTTATCCCGAGCAACAGAACCAACAGGATATGTGTATATATAGAGAGAGATTTATTTTAAGGAATTGGCTCACATGATTGTAGAGGCTTGGCAAGTCCAAAGTCTGCAGGGTGGGCTGGCAGGCTGGAGACTCAGGGAGGAGTTGCAGTTCGAGTCCAAAGGCAGTCTGCTGGCACAGTTCCTTCCAGCTCAGGAGAGGGTCAGTCTTTGCTATTGGGGCCTTCAACTGATTGGATGAGTCCCACCCACATTGTGGAGGGCAATCTGCTTTACTCAAAGTCTACCTATTAAAATGTTAGTCTCATCCGAAAAACACCTCCGCAGAAATCTCAGAACAATGTTTGACCAAATCATGGCCCAGCAAAGTTCACACATAAAATTAACCCACACATAAGAGTTTTCATACACATTGCCAAATTGCTCTCCAAAAGGCTGGGGCCCTTTTCTGGTTGCCCTGGGGTTGGAGATTATGAATTTCCTAGCCCTGCTGCCTAGAACTTTCTCTTCCTTCACTTTTTGGCAACTCGTCTCAGCTGCCCCCCGACCCTGCACCTTGACCCTGCTGCCCATTTTCTTTAAGGCCCCATGTGGTGAACCCAGCCAGCCGTCCTGGGCCTGCACAGCTGGCTCCTCCAGATCCAGCCTCCCTGTCCGTGACTGTGTGATGGGACACCCCCGGGAACCCAAGGCCAACCCTCTGCCATTGCCACCACCAGGAATGGCTGCCGGTGTTCAACTGAGTAGTTTTTACGAGTTTCTCATGGTAGTTCCTTCTTAAAATGTAGTAGGGCTACATTCAAAAATGGTCTAATTTTTATGTTACGTGTACTTTACCACAATTTAGAAATGATTAACTGCTATAACAATGGTAAAAATATAAAAATTAGAATAGCAAGATAGGAAAAAGAAATCGTTTGATCCAAGTAATATTACAAGAAAACCCCTCCCTAGACCCTATAAAAAGCTCCTTTATATGTGTAATAAAGGCATCAGCTATGAGCTTCATCTCATTCTTTTACAGTCTTTGTTCACCAGTCTGACAGGCGCCTTATCTGTGAACTCCCCAAGAGCGGGAATTCAGTCTAGTTGACTTCTGATCCCTAGTCCCTGGCATAGTTCCTAGCCCACGTGTGGGTTATCATTGAATGACAGGAAAACAAAACGTTAGGAGGAAGACGTAATAGATTACGACTTATCAGTCTGATAGAATAGTCCGCAACCAATGTGAATAGTAATGACGGAGGCTACTCAGACATATGGAGAGATAACGGGTAAGGCTTATAAAGACAGAGCAACGTAGGAGAGCCTGTATGAGGGCAGCCATGTCAAAATGTGCACGCGTGTAAAAGGCATGACGTGGAAAATGTTCAGGGGGATAATATTGTGAGTGATGTAAAAATAAAATTTCTTTTTAAAAAATAATTATTTTAAAGTTAAAAAAAATGTCATAGGGCTAAATGTGATAGGGGATCCTTGCCTTCTGGCCTAAAGTATGGGCAGGTTTTCTGCCAGTTTTTTCCTCAATTTGAATTTGGAGACGTTTTAGATATTTAAGTTTACTTTTCTAATTATTAAAGTAATATATTCTCAATGTAAAAAAGGGGGGACATATAGAAATATAGAAATGAATCAAATAAATTCTGCTGTTTCTTCCCAAGTCCCACTGCCCAGAGCTGGAATCCCCATTTGTGGGGCACTTACCACAGCTGGGCCCAGGGCACAACCTCGCTGAATCATCAAAGCTGTCCTATAGATGTTTCACAGGTGGGGAAACTGAGGCTCCCAAAATGTCAGTGGACTGGCCCACGATCAGTCACCAGCTGGAGAGCAGCAGATCAGGACTGAGAGTCTGGGCCCTTCCAAAGAGGGCACCCCCTGGGCACCGCCCCCCCTCCCCCCACTGAATCCTACGTTTCACACACACGCACACTCACACACACACGCTCCCCACCGCCCACTAGGAAGCCTTGCAGCCTGTCAGCATCTCCCTGGCTTGGCCAGGGGACCCTCACTCGCCAAGCACAACGGCTGTCTGCTGTGCAGCCTGCAGACTGAGGCGCCCACTTTGGGAAGGGAAGCCAGGCCTGCCGTTTACAGAGCATCTGCTGCAAGCTGGGAGCTGAGCTGATGCTTCCATTAGCTCCTTCAGTGGTGACAACAAGCGTGACAGCCTGGGACTCCAGTCTTCAGACTTATAGTCAAGAAAATGGGCACATAGATAACAAGGGCCCCAGAAGTTGAGGTGGGAGCAAGAGTTGAACGTGTCTGCAGCTTGTTGAGAGCCAGAGAGCAAAGGGCTGGGCAGCGGAATCACATCCCCAGCCCCAGCCTTGTGGCTGGGAGGTCGCAGAGTCAGGACCCTACTCCCAAGACTTCTTGTCTAACAGCACCAAGCTGCAGGGGCTGCAGGCACTGGAGGAAAGCAGGGAGCTGGCTCCAAGACGTGACCACCTCGTCTCTGCCAGGCTGCTCATAGGGCTGGGACCCAGAGGGCATCTGGAGAATGGCTGGCCCTAAGATCCCACTGGGTTCAAATCTTGGCCTCACTACCTGCTTGTTACACGTATGACCTTGGGAAAGGTCACAGACTTGGAGCCTCAGTTTCTACATCTGAAAAATGGAGTAGTAATGCCTGTCTCTCAGGATTGTTTGGGGGTTTAATGCCACCTTCTCAACGAGACCTTCCTTGGCTACCCCATTTAAAATTAATTTTCTATTGCTGCTGTAACAAATGTAGTGACCTGAACAACGCAAATTTATTATTTGACAGTTCTGTAGGTTAGAAGACAATACACACCTCACTGGGCTGGAATTAAGATGTCCACAGGAGATGTTACTTTCTGGAGTTCTAGGAGAGAATCTCTTTTCTGTCTTTTCTGGCTTCTAGAGGCTGCCTGCCCTCCTTGGCTCATGGCCCCTTCCTCCACCTTCACAGTCGGCAGCATTGCCTCTCTGCCTTTCCTCCGCAGTCGTACCTATTTCTCTGACTCTCTTCTGCCTCTCTCTCCCACCATTCAGGACCCTGTGATTCCCTTGTGCCCACCCTGATATTCCAGGATAAACTCCCCATCTGAAAATCAGCAGATTAGCGGCCTTAATTCCATCTGCAGCCTTCGTTCCCCTTTGTCATGTAACATTCCAGGGAGTGGGCATAATTGGGGACCATTACTCTGCTGACCACATGCTCCCTGGCCATATCATCTAACACTTCGATACCCTCCCATCTCCCCTTCCCTCCCCTGCTTCATCTCCTCCTTAGCATTTATTTCTCTTTTATTATCTGCCTCCTCCCCGAGAATGTGAGCTCCGTGGGGCAGGATTAATGCCTCTGGGTGCCCTGCTCCACCCCACCCCCAGCCTGTGCTCAGGACAGTGCCTGCCTGGCATCCATTAGTGCTCAGAAGGGGGAGGCTTCCGTCCTCCTGTGACTCCTAACCGTGCAGTAGCTGCTGTGACTCCAGATTGCACATTTCGTTCCAGGGAATTCACATCAGCCTTCACCTGCAAGCCCCGGACGCCCCGCACCCCAGAGATCCTGGACCTGAACCCAGCCAAGGCCAAGGCGTCGGCTCTGGCCCCTCAGTTCTCCACGTGTGGCCCCCAGCAGGCCAGCCGCCCCAGCTCCACGACGTCCTCCTTGAGGGGCCTGCAGAGTAAGTCACACTGGGGGGAAGGGCATCATGCTCCCCACCCGGAGCCCTGCTCCCTCTGTGCCCAGCAGGCTGGTGGGAAAGGCTGTGTCCCCTCCTGGCAGGACCAGGGCCCTAGCCAGCGGCTTCCTTTGCCCTAGAGACCAGTTCTTCATGAATCTTTCTATTTATGAAATTGCCATTGGCCTCAGCGGCTCACACACAAGCTGGCGGAGTGAGACCCTCCAGACAGTGCCACTCGGAGACAAGATCCCCCGACTGTGGGGCTTGTGTAGTCGGCCCTGAAACCCAGACCTGCCTTCTGGTGGGAGGCAGCCAGCAGCTGCTCAGGCAGCCTTGAGCTCAAACAGAAGCATGTGCCCCAGTGGAGGGGCCGCCAGAGGGACTGAGGGTGGGGTGGGCTCAGAGGGTCCCCGCACTGTCCCTGAGGCCTCCCTCCCACCCTTTGGTGGTCCCTGTAGAGACCACCTCTCCCTCTCTCTCTGTCCCCTCCTAGCCTCGGCGAGTTGACCACCCGCCTCCACTCCCCAGCTGAGCCTAGCCCTTTCTAAAGGGCTTTCCTAAAAGTCAGGGAAAACAAGAGAGATACAGAACAAAAGCATGTCAGGCAGCCCAGAATCAGTCACACTCCGGATGTACGCATTTCTGTGGCTGCTGCCCCAGCCCTCCCTGCCCCGCTGCCTTCCTGATGGCCCTGGAACCGGGGACCTGCTGGGCTGGGAGTGTGGTTCATGGGCCACGGCTGGGGTGCCTGCTGGGCCCTCCCCTCCTTGCAGCTCCTATCTGCTGGGAAACACGCAGCAAAGGCCCAGCCCCATCTCCCCACCCGCAGTGCAGGTCAAGGTGCTTCCTCGCACAGGCCCAGAGGAAGCGCCAGCAAACGCAGGGAAAGTTTGGCCAGGAGAGAGGCAGACAGGCCCTCTGACCCTCCCCGGCCTCCAGGCTGCACCAGGCCCGGGACCCCAGCTAATAATAATCGCAATAGTAACACCAGTGCTGATGGGCTGGCCCGGCCACACAGCCAATAGGCAGCACGGCCCTGGCCGGCGTGGAAGGCTCGGCGAGCAGTGGATGTATGTCCTGTGGCCTCCACAAACACATGGCTATTGCCAGCAAAACTCACTGAGCACCCCACACCCTGCGGCCTGCTTCCTGTGAGGAAAGAGCACGGCCACACGAGTCATGCCCTGGCCGCAGAGCAGGTGACCTAGGGGACGGTTCTCTTTCTTCTGTTTGCACAGAGCCGGGTGAAAGAAGGGATTGTGTGGGACAGAGGGGGCTCTGTGCAGAGACCGTCCTGGTGCTGGCAGCTCGCTCTGGCTTTTCTTCTCCAGGCAGCCAGTCCTACAGGAAGTGAGGATGGTTTCTTCCCCGGTGTCACCGTCCTCTTGCCCGAGGACCAGCCAGCTTCCCGTTCTCGGCCAGCCAGCAGCTGCAGGTGACAGATGTGAAGAGACAGTTGTCTACCAGCCGCCGAGTGGCGTGGGGAGCTGAGGAGAGGACGGCTCTCCAGGCCGTCCAGGAGCAGGCCAACCACAGCGCCCACCACCCAGCGTCCTGTTACTGTCCTTCCCTGGTCGCCCTTCATACACACGCAGGAGAGGGGTCCTCACGGCACCCAGCTGAGTGGACTGTGCAGCCAACCCAGTGAGCTGGGCCATCTGGGGAGCTTGTGCGGGGGACAGGGGCCAGAGAGCTCAGCCAGAGACAGGGCCTCGGCCTCGATGGAAACCGGCTCTCCTCACTTGGACCAAGTCCAAGGAAACAGAAGGGATTCAGAATGAGGGAAACTTGTTCTCAAGCCACATACCCGAGCAGCAGATCTGGTATTTTCTTCCTCTTTTAAGATCTGGTAAGAATATGGTATGTTCCTGTAAATGGCTTGGACTATGGCCGTTCCAGAGCAGCCCGTGTGTCTCAAAGGCTTAGCGGGTTGACAAGTTAACACCATTTCCCTCCCTCCATTAAGACCATAAACGCAAACGGCTCCATTGGCAAAAAGACTGGTCCCTGCTGGGGGGGGCCTATGCTCGCTCCTTGTCGAGGGTGACATCAGGGCCACGTCTTAGGTCAGAGGAAGGAACTTCACCTGCAGAGCCATCAATGCTACCAAAGCTAGTGGCGGGGTCTGACTTCTCCTAAAATAGAAATGTTGAAATAAAACTCATCAGTGTTTAGATGGTACTTGTGTGTGTGTGTGTGTGTGTGTGCGCGCGCGTGTGCATGTGTGCGCGCGCGCCCATGCATATGTGAATAAAATCACGTTATCCCCGGCACTCCATCTGCCCTGGCCGTGCCCTTCAGTGGAGACCCCTTTGTGGTCCCACTGGACGTAAATAGACGATGAGCACTGCACTTTTCTGGGGCCTTCTGACTCCTCAGGAGAGCGGGCAGAGGAGATAAGCAGAACGCTGGGGCCGGCAGGAGGCCAGGCTACCCCTGAGATGACCGGAAACTCGTCACGGGCAGACCCTGGGTTACTCTCGTGAGTTCTTGGCAGTGGCACAAGGCAGTTAGAACTCTGTGGTTGTGTGCTGGCCCTCGATTCTCTGGAAGTGTCTGAGCCCCAATCTGTTCTTGGCGAAGAAGGCTGTGGAGAACACGGCCCTGTCTTCTTGGGCATGTCAGCCTCCGGGCTCTCTGAACTCCTGACTTCACCTGCGGAGGTGTAAAGAGAAAATGCAAATTCTTATCTCCAGGATCGTTGATATGGACATACAAGAAGAGCAGGGACTGGGTCCCTGAAATGGAACCACTGGTGGCGAAACCTTGAAAAGGCGTAGAGAGGTTACAGATGAACAGCAGAGGAGCCTGATGGAAAAATCTCTCCCATTCGCCCTAGTAAATCCACTCCCCTCCAGATTCCTCAGATGCCGCTGACTGGCACGCCTTCCCCCTGCCTTGGCGTGGGAGCAGCCCGGTCTCCAGAAATCCAGAGGGAGTGGGAGAGTCATGCCTTTCCACGCAGTGTCCGCCTGGTGGGAAGACAACAGTTGGTTCTCCCTTGAGCCTGCGGATGAATTCAAGTCTGATTTGTGAACGGCCATTTCGGGAAAAGAAAAGACAGTCTTTTTTAGAGATGAGGGGAATCCAACTCGGGGTCAAACTACACTGAGGTCACCAGGTGTGGTCCGGGGGAAGTAAACACTGCCAGCAGCCACACCACACCCTGGGAGAGTCCTCTCGCAGACACGGCTACATCCCAAGACCCACGGCTGGAAAGAGACTGTGAAATACAACAACTCAGGCATAAATATTCCGTCTTTCTGCCGGCCTCACTGGAGTTGGATATGAACACCAGCTAAGGGGGGAGAATCGAATTCACGAATAAACCAAAATGTTTTCACAGGTCACCTGGAAACGTCATCATACAGCTCCTAGGATTTGCCTACCTACACAGGCAAGCCGTGGAGAGGAGCCTGTGGGCCTTTTGAGAAATGGTGGGCCTTCAGGAAGATTCCTTCTGCCCCTGGAAGCTGACCCCAGCTCTGTGGTTACCCGGCCCCCCCTAATTTCTCCTGAGTAGGACTCGATCTCATTGCTCCCTTCACAGCAAGGTGTAAATGTCTGGCAACAGCTTAAATTATGACCCTTGGTGGGAATATAATAGGCAGGTGGGGGTTCGAGATCCAGTTGGATACTAGGGGTCACTCAGTAGATTGGGAAGGATTCGCCTAAATCAAAAGAGCTAAATAAAAAACAAACACACAAATAAATAAGATTAATGCAAAAAATCAATGACAAACAAAATATCAAACTTGTTAATAAAACAAGATCTGACCCTGTGCTTGTATGCCAAACTTGTTAGGGTCAGCCCCAATTCCAATAAAACTTTACAAAAATGGGCAGCCAGCCCACGGGCCATAGTTTGTTGGTTTGATATCTTTTAATATAGCATTAAAACATGATTTAGGTTCATTACCGAGTTTGGGGGCACCCCTTACACTTTGTGTGCAAGGCGAATGCCTCACTCACCTCACCCTTGTCCCTGCCCAGGATCTGGAGGATTCCCCTGGCCCTCCCAGGGTGCTGGTAGCACAGCCTCGTGGCTGGGTGGCCGGGCCTGCCTGACCATCTTCATGTCTGCAGACACTGTTTGTGGTGAGTTGTGCTAAGGAGGGATTCGGTTTACTTTTGCATATAACAAACTACCCTCAAAACTTAGTGACCTAAAGCAATTTATTAGCTTTGGAATTATGTGGATCAGCAAAGGGACACTGGGCTCAGAGGGGCGGTTCTGTTGGGCTTGGCTGGACCCAGGTGTGCGTCTGCGGTCAGAGGGCAGTCAAGGGCCTCACTGTGTGTGGCAGTTGGCTGTTGGCTGGGTTATTGGGGCTCCTCCATGAAGCCCTTCCTCCTCCAGCAGCTAGCTTGGGCTCATTGCCATGGTGGTCTCAGGGTTCCAGGGGCAGTAAGTGCTCTTCAGGTGTCTACTGGCATCGTGTTTACCGTTTTCCCATTGGCCAAAGCAGGTCACACGGCCGAGGCCAATGTCTGTATGAAGGGATGAGGATACAGGAGCAATGGCCATACCCGGGCACGACCACAGTCTGCCACATAGAAGCTGTTCAGAACTTACCTCATGTCTCGAACCAAATCTTTCAGGGTTTTTTTTTCCCCGCTGTGGCATAACCTCCCCATTTTAATTCAGTTCAACAAACATAACCTGTGGGCTGCTCTGTGTTGGGCTGTGGAGTGTTGTGATTTTGTTAAATTCACATTTGACAAATGGAGCCCCGGGTGAAAGACCGCGGGGAAAGTGAAGTAGAGAAGTGTATTACTCACAGGTCCTGGAGGAGGTACGCAGCTCGCCTCGAGGGGCCACTCGGGGAGGTCGAGGCGGGGTGCAGGTGGAGTGTGAGCAGCAGGACCTGGGGCGCTGCCTTTGTTAGGGTCCGTAGGTGGAGAGTTTCTGGGGTTCTCAGGCTAGGGCCAGATTGGTCAATTCAAACCAAAAAGGGGAGTTTTGGTAAGCTCCATGGGGTCTTCCCTAAGGGGTGCATGAGGGGAAGGAGCTGGGAGGCAGGAGAGACTGTCACCAGGACCCTTGGGGACGGCCTGTCAGGAACTTACACTTACTTCTGACTCTGCCCACTGTTGTCTAAGTGTCAGATCAAGCCCTGCAGGCCACATAGCCACACAAAACGACGGCAGCGACATTGTGGAGTAGTTTAGCTAAACTCTCAACGGGAGACACGGTTCCACTGGCCCTCGAGTTGCTACAAATCTTCTAGGGAGAATTCCTGGCCTTTGCGGACGGCCACAGTTCAGGACAGGGTGCCAGCGCCAGATGGCAGCGGTGGGCAGATCGCCAGGAAGAGGTTGTAGAATTGGGAGAAAGGCCCCGAGAGATCCACGAAGACTTGTCTCTTTAAGGTGTCAGTGGAAGCCTGGGAGTGGGTGGGATCTCTGCAGAGGGGAATAGAGAAATAAGAAACCGAGGGCAGAACTGGGGATGAGACAAAGAAAAAGGACCCGGGGCAGGAGACACTCTCCAGGGAGGAGGAGGCCCAGGGGACTGGCTGGGACGTGGGGGAGAAGCCGTGCATGGAGGGCGGTCACCATTGTCAGAGCTGGAGGAGATGGAGGAGGGATGGGCTGCCTGAGGCCACCCTCCAGAGAGCGGTGCCCGCAGTATTGGGCCAGGGGTCAGCCTGGCACTGGGAAAAGTTGAGGCGACCAGTGGGATACTGGAGGCGTTGTGGTCGGTGGGGGATGTCCTGGAGAAGGAAGAGCGGGGCGAGTTGATGGGATGGGCTCTAAGACGGGAGGCTGGAGCAAAGGCCACGGAGCAGTGATCTTGAGGAGCGCTGGGGAGCAGGGAGACCACTGGGCCCTCCTCTGGCCCCTGGGCAGGAGGCAGTGGGATGGAGGGGCCACCTTGTGCCTCGTTGCTAAATGTTCAGGAATTCTCTGAGCTGGTGCTTATCACAGCCATTGCCAAAACTTAAATTATATACACTTACGATAAAATAAATTCTATTAAAAACAAAGGTAATAATTACTCAAACCTCATCCCTTCCTGATTATTTTACCAAGTTTACTATTGTCTCTGTCCTGGAGGATATTTACATCTGTTATATCTGTAAGGGGGAAATACGACAGAATGAGGGCTACGTGCCTACATCTCCTCCTAACTCTGTGTTCAGTGACATCATTTTGGTAGCTTGAAACTGGCCAGGTGGGGATATTTACCCCACAGAAATTGGCACACACTGCAAACCAGGGCTTCTCCACCATCCGGAGAGCTGGTTGTTAAACAATTGCCAGCACCCCACTGGCAGAAGGAGTGTGCAAGGAGACGCAGCCTGAGGCAGAATGTTAGGTGGCCTGGGGCGGGGCAAGCTGAGAGGAGCAGGGCAGTGTGTGCCCCCTAGAATGGAAAGCCCAAAGGGTGGCATGTGCGGTGGACAGGTGGGGCTGCTCCAGAAGCCTCTGCCCACTTCTGTTTCTACCTACCCTCACATCTCTGGTGTTGGCCCAAAGTGCTAGCATCATTTCACTCTGGGCCTTCACCTCATAGGAACTAGCCTGGAGCCTTTCTCCCTGCGTTACGTGATAACTGAGGATCACGTCTGGTGACCCTGGGTGTCCCTTGGACACGTTGCCACTTGGCACACTTCTGCTGCTCACAATTCCACTGTCTCTCTGTGCCGCCCAGAGACACACCCGTCCCACGTGCTTAAGCACATGGCACAGCTCCTGCCTGCCAGTCACCTGTGGCACATCACGGCTTCCAGGAGT